CGGCCTGCCGCGCCACTTCCCCTGTCCCCTGGTCTGTCTCACTTCCCACATCGCTCCTCATCTGCGTGTATGTGTGTAGCTCTCCCCTGGGTGTGGAGAGCTAAAGGCGTGAAGCTGTGGCACCAGGTTGCAGCTGGAGCCCCGTGTGTTGGTTCTTGGGAGGGCTCTGACTCATCGGTGCGCCTGGGGGAGCGTCAGCGCTGAGGGCCCTGCCTGTGCTCTTGCAGCTGATCGCAGAGTGTCAGCACGAGAGGCGTGTGGAGCCGCTGAACGAGGACGTGTTGCTGGCCATGGCTGACATGGGGCTGGACAAGGAGCGCACGGTCCAGGTGAGGCGCCAGTCTCGCGGCCGTTTGTTGCCTGTCTGCTCTGCGGCCTCAGCACAGTGCGCAGCACATTTCACTGCCCCACAGAAAGAACCGACCGTTTGTCCCTTTGCCTCTTTCAGTCCTTGAGAGCCGACGCTTACGATCACTACAGCGCGATCTACAGCCTGCTCTGCGACCGGCTGAAGAGGCACAAAAATCTGCGCATTTCAGCATCTCCGAGTATACCCCGGACCATGACCTTCCCCACCTCTCCTAACATCCAGGTAGGTCCTGCTGGCATAACGCGCTTCCAGCCCCGCAGGCCAGCCAGTCCCTCTCCTATTTTAGGCGTCCTCCTCCTGGCAGGAGTGTCAGGTCATTCCTCACTGGAGAACTTCGTGTGTTCTTGGGGTGCCATCCTCTTGAGATGGGAAGCAGTTTGTTAATTTGCTGTGGGTTTAAGTGAGTATCCTTCAGACCAAGTCTTGTGTTAGTTTAGCGACAGAGGAGAAGGCAACGTGAGGGTTACTGGTGGGGAGCTAGAGTTTACAGACCAGGACCGCTGTGCCACGCTGCTTCCTCAGCTTGTGCTGCTGGCCCAGAAATGAATATTTGCCTCGAGAGGCTGGATTATAAAGGAAGCAAAAGAGATGCTGACCCTGCCTGAACAGAAGGAAGGAGGGGCAATGAGGTGACCCCTGGAGAATTCAGGGTGAACAGATCTTTGCTGGCTCCAGGGTAACTTCCCAGTTGCCAGGTGCTGAGCTCTGTGCACTGGTGTTGATCCAGTGGTGTTTGCAGAGGGGTTATAAGAGATGCTAGCTTCAGGTCTCCTGATTTTGATCTCTCTGCTCAGCAGACAGAACAGACGGGTAATACCATGAGCATCAATGTGCCCCAAGTCCAGCTCATCAACCCTGAAAACCAAATTGTGGAGGTGAGGCGCACCCCTTGATGACCCTGCCAGTCCTTTGCCTGGGCTTGCGTTGAAGCCTTTTACTTGCTCCTTACATTGTATTCCAAAATATCCAATGTTTTGCCTGCCCAGACGGATGGAACGATGAACCTGGACAGTGATGAAGGGGAGGAGCCGTCGCCTGAAGCTCTGGTCCGTTACCTCTCGATGAGGAGGCACACGGTTGGAGTAGCTGACCCACGGTTAGTATTGGACTCCAGGGAACCTGAAGATTTACTCCTGGCTTGTGACCTTGGTCCTCCTGAGGTGTCCCAGATTTGTTCACATGCTGCTCTGCTGTGCATGGCTTGCAGTTATTTCTGCAAACCTGTTTTTTGCTAGAGGGTGGAAGAAATTCAAGGCGTCTCTACAAAAGTGTCCTTTTAAATATGCTAGTCCCACTGTGAGGCTCAGTTTGTGTTTCAGCAGTGGATGAGATGCTTTCCTCCTCTTCCTGATGAGCTGTGTGTAAGCTGTCGCGGTGTTCACTGGTGTGCAGGCCAGTACCTGCCTGGAGCTGCTCTGCTCTCGTGTCCTTGGTGGTGTTTTTGTGATAAGGATGCTGGAGGGTAGTGCAGAGAGCCGCTCCTGGCAGATCTCAGCTTGGAGGGGGAAAAGGGGCAAACAGAAACCCAAGAGTGTCTTGGCTGCTCTCTGTGAGCGCTTCTCAGAGCATGAGGAATCCTCGCTGCAAAGGGAAGCTGAGCGCCCTGGGCCTGTGGGAGGTTCTCTTCACTCCATTGCGAAGTGACCCGGGTATCACTGTGATTGCACAGGACGGAAGTCATGGAAGATCTGCAGAAGCTGCTGCCTGGCTATCCCCGCGTCACTCCTCAGACTCCGTTCCTGCAGGTGACCCCGAACGTGAACTTCATGCACAACGTGCTGCCTAGGCAGACCCTGCAGCCCACGGGGCAGCTGGAGGTGCCGTTGCTCCGCGCTGCAGCCTGTGTTCCGCCAGCACGGCGGGCAGGCGGTGCTCCCGCTTGCTCCTGCTCTTTGCCCATTCCTTGGGCAAGATACACCCTCTTGCTGGGTCCCTAGGCATGGCTCTGCTTGGTTACTTAAAAGCTAAAGGATGAAGGATCGCTGCAGCAGGAAAGGAATTAATAGGCTGGGGAGAAACTGGGCTGTGCTGCCTGACTTAGGAGCCGCAGATTGCGGCCTGCCCGGCAGCTAAAGCAGAGCACGGGGGAGCAGAGAGTTAAGCACTGCTTTTCCAGCGATGCCGCCTGCCTCAGCCCGTGTAGGCTCCCAGAAGGCTCAGCTTCTCTCGGACACGTGTTTGCGCTCGTGCCCTGTTTTTTTTGGGTTGGTGACGGTGCTGTCTGTGCTTCCCAGGAGCAGTCCCTGCTGCAGCCGCCCACCCTGCAGCTGCTGAACGGCATGGGCCCCCTGGGGCGCAGGGCTTCGGATGGCGGCGCCAACATCCAGCTCCACGCGCAGCAGCTGCTGAAGCGTCCTCGAGGTCCGTCTCCGCTCGTCACTATGACGCCAGTAAGTAGCGAAAGGAGGGAAGAGAGTTGGCGGCATGCGTATAAATATCTTCACCCACAGGCAGAGGTGACTGCCTCCTGGTCACAGGGGGCAGAGTTGTAGGCTCGGTGTGCGGCGCTCGGGAAGCGCTGCGGGGAGCGAGTCTGCTTGCTGCCGAAGGGTCCCAGCTCTGGGCCCGTGCTGTACTCTCCTGTAGCCAGCAGCTGAGACGGAATTCCTCTCTGGAATTGACATAGTGTTTGTGAACTCGTTAAACGGTCACTTTTCTTCTTTGCTGACCTGAGAGAGAAAACTGAAGTGTCCGGCTTGGTCATTAATGCACATTCTTTCTTCCTTGATGCATCTGTATCAGTGACTTTTCCCAAGGAAGCAGCAACCTTGGTACAGGCGGTTTTGGTTGGGGAATAGTGTCAGAAGGGGTTTGTTCTTGGCCGAGTGTCCTTGGTGCTGCAGAGAAGCTGACACACATCCCTACAAAAGCTTCTTCGGGAAGGTCAAGTGCCCGTTGGGTGGAAGAGGCTGTGCCGGCCGCTTTCGGAGACCCATAGCTTCTCTTCTGTCTGCAGGCTGTCCCCGCTGTCACCCCTGTGGATGAGGAGAGCTCCGACGGGGAGCCGGATCAGGAAGCTGTGCAGAGGTAACTCACAGTCTGTTCGTGTTTGCCCTTGCTGCCTCCGAGAGGCTCGCTCTGTGGTGTTCCTCAGGTGAATTCAAGTGGGAGCAACCTCATGGCAGGCAGCAGTGTTGATTGCAGCGAAGGCTCGCCATTTCTCCCGTTCTTGTGGGTGTTGATTACTGTAGGCAATTACTCCTCTGACACTGCTAGGTGCCTACAGAGCTGGATTCCCCCTGAAACGGTTAGCTAATTGAGCAGCAGGTTCTCCAGAAACTCTGAGAGCGCTAAACGCCTTTGCTTAGTGTGCACCAGCATGCAATCCACACTAACCTGCGAAATGAGTGAATGCTGAGTGATTCACCCCTCCCTGCTGAGCGATGGAGGTAGGAAGATCTCATCTGTGGCCTTGGGTGTCAGTGCGGCTTTTGCATCAAGACATGCAGTAAACATCCAACTCTGATGCCTTAAAGTGAGCTTGCTGGAAATACGGGTACCACTAGCTTCTAGTTTTACCAGGAGGCCTTAAAATAAGCTGCTCAAATAAGAAAAGGATTCTTAGCTATCAGGCTGGAAGCTTCGTTCCTCTTTGTCTGCTCCAAACATGTTGTAGGAAGCGGGTAGAATAAGCTTGTACTTTCTCAGTGTGTGCAAACACTAACCGTATCCTTGCTAACATTTCCTTAGAGCTTTTGCGTAGTCTCTTCCTGCTAACCTGCTGGCGGGTGTGATTATGGAGCCCTCCTGCTTCTTGCTTCAAACTTGAAAAGTTTTCTGGATTGCCCTCCAGTTTGTACAGGCCACCACCTCACGTTCAGGTAGTGTTTCCTCAGGGGCTACGCTTGGGAGAAGGAATCACGTCAGGGGGTTGGTTGCAGGTAGAGAAACACCGGCGAGGGTGGAGAGTCATGCTCCAGAGCTTTTACCAGCTCTTCTTCCAGTGCTCCAGACCAAAGCGGGGATTTGAACGGCAGGCGTGTGGCACAGGTTGTGCAGAGTGCGCACTGAGGCTCCTTTTGCCTAGCTGAGCTTAGGAGAAAGTCAAAGCTGGTGCATGTGACAGAACTTGCTGCCAGCCCTACCTTAGAGCTGACCCAGAGCACACCCCGGGTTTTCTGCTTAGGCTTGTGTTCTAGTGCTTCACCACCCTCAGCTTTGTACTTCCACTCACAGTATCTTCCAGCTTCACAAGCTGCTGTCCGTCCTTCGAGCCATGATCCTGGGAAGGGGTGTGCTCGTGAGCTGCCCCAGCTGCAAGGCAGCACGGTGCAAGGAGTGAGGCAGATGAGGAGTGTGCACCTCCAGCAGCGTGGGCTGCCTGCAGCCCCTCTGCAGCCGCTGTCCCCTGCCTGCGCTCTGTCCTCGCTAGCAGGGCAGAAGAGCACAGACCCTCTCTACACGCAGCCGTGCTGCCTCGACAGCTGTAACGGAGGGCCCGTCATGTCCCCTGGCAGCTCCTCAGATGGCAGTCAGTCTGACTCCCTGAATCAGATGAAGCTGGTTCTTGCCAAGGTGTTGCCTGGACATCTCACCTGGGCAGATTTTCACTTCTCCTAATGTAAAACCTGAGATTTCAGTTGAGTCTTTAAGCATTAGCTCGGCTGGAAATGTCTGGAAACCCCCATGCCATACTTTGTAGGTCACGAGCCACTGAAATGTTCGGGTCCCACTGGAAGGCAGGTTTCCCTGCACCCGTAGGTTGTCTTGCCGCTCTCGGCAGCGCTGCCCTCAGTCCTTTTGTACCACATGTTGCTCTTCCACCAGATGGCCCAGAAAAGCCCTGTCCAGGTTGTGTGTTAACTTGCTCTCCACCCCTTTATGCTGCAACATGTCAGTAGTCGTCAGAGGGGAAGGGTAAACAGCACTAACATCAGGGACAGATGCAAATATTTAGCTTCTGAGAACACTGCTCCGAACAGTCTGTATGCAGCCACCAACGAGCAGTTTTTGCCCTTCATAATCTCACCTTGAAAACAGAGCACAGTCGTTTCTCTGTTCCAGGGAACAGCCACATCTCCTTTGAGCTTTGGGAAACTTTCTTCCACCTGGAACGCTGTTATAGCTCATGGTTGGATTGTTCCCTGGAGGTCTGAAATAAAATGATCGTAGCAAACCACAACTGTAAAGCTCTTTGGGAAACTTTCCCTGTCTGCATCAAATGATTCTTAAACAGCTAATGGCACAGACTTTGGCAAGTTACCACAGCGCTAAGCACTCTTCATTCTGTTAACTCGCTGTCTTCTGCTTAAGTGGCTTCTGTAGCTGGCAAAGAGAGCCTGGGCTTGGAGAGGGGAACGACTTTATTGCTTGCTGCTCCTCTGTGCTTCACCGGCTGAAGTTGCAGGGAGCCTCGGCAGGGGAGAGGATCGAGGGTGAGAATTCCCCGTTAGTATCTCCAGCGTCACTGGCCAAGCGATCTTTGTCACCGTTACCACAGCTGCCTCGCTGCCGCTGCTTCACAAGAGCAGAAGGAGCTGAGTTCATGAGTGGGCGTTCATCCCACTCAGCCTCCAGCAGGTGCCCCATGCTCAGCCTTGAGCACATAAAGAGTTGCCCCCGTGCTCGTCACAAGCCAGGGCGTCTGGGGTGAGCCCTCCCTTTGTTATCTCTTCTGGCCCGTCCCCGCAGCTGCTCTGAGCGTCACTGCAGCCTGTCAGGGCAGCAGCAGCGGTGAGAGCCGCGCCGCCCCTCGCCACCTGCTCTCCAGGGCACCGGCTTCTGGCTTCGCCCTGCCCGCTGGCCCGGGCTTGGCAGGGTCTGCACAAGGACTGCGGTCTCTTGGCTGCGGCACAGAGGGTGCTCGAGTCGAAGCTGCGTCCCCCAGGCCCTGGTGTGAGAGGCAAGGCCACCCTCAGCCAAGGGCCCCTCTCGCCCAGTGGCTCCCCGGCAACAGAGCGGGGGCTAGGAGGCGC